TTACTGTTTCCTACCTTTCCTCTTTTATTACCCTTTGTTCTGGTATTTTCCTCTTTCTTGCTCCCATCTGTCCCTCCATCTCCACTATCTCTCTCTGTATCTTTCTCAGCTGTTATTCCTGGCCACCACTGTCTGGTTACACTTCTTCTCCTCTCTGATCTTAGGAATCTCAGGCCCCTCTTAGAGATAGAAGGGAGAACAGAGCTACTGCGAACATGCTTCAAGGGAGTGCTGTGCCTGCCACCTAGAGACATTTTGCGTAAGGAGGCTGCCCGTTCCAAGGAGGCCCAGGCCATTCTGGTAATTAATTCTTTGATATTTGTGTCTTTGGTTTTAATTTTTTTTTAAATTTTTTAAGAAGATGAGAAGTATAGGCTTGGCAGTTTTATGTAAGAATCTTCTGTCTTTAATAAAAGCAAAAATCATTGGAAGGAAGACTTCCTGTGAAGAAGGGGTTGTTAGTTCTTGTAGTCTGAACTCTACTCCTTTGATCTACTTCCTTCTTAGAGTCACTCATCGATTACTATTCTGCCACCACTTTAATATTCTGGCCCAAAGGCAGACACACTCAATCCTTCCCTTTGTAACTGTCACACAATTAAAACCAGGCTGGAAGTTTCAAACATGATTTACTAAGGACTCATAGGTAAATGAATTTAGGGAACCCCAGGAGCAAGAGATCTGAGCCCGTTTTCTACAGGGCCTACAGTGTTACCTTGAGGGAGGGAATAGGGACTCAATTTTTAATTTATATTTTTATGTTTAATTCCTAGGAATTCTTTCACGTTCTCTGATTATTCTTTTATTTTGATTGATTCTTCTCGTTTTATTGATGCCTTAGTCTCTTGAATTTTTTCAAGGATATTAACTTTAAAAAATAAAAATGCCTACTATTTACTAAGTTAGTTTAATTTTTTAAGATCAGTTTGTTCATCTTAGGCCTTCTTTTCATCAGATGTTTTGTGATCCTTCTTCTTCAGTTCATATTTATTTATGCTATGAAAGAAGAACTGGTACATACAGAAAGGGCTGGTTGTATTCCCATGAGGCCTTCCTCAGTGCAAATCTGGTTAGGTGGGGGATGATATTTTGGTGGAATTTCCCTGCGTTTGGGGCAGGCTAGGAATTCTAACTGCCCCAGTAAGAATAGCTTTACTCTGAGGTAGATTGCTTTCCAGTACTTTATTCCAGGGAGAGCTGTCTTTCTTTTTCTTTCTCCCTCTTTGTCAGTTTTAGTGGTCCAGAATTATCGCAAATGTTGCTTTGGTTCTCCCCACAGCCCTCTACCATTAGGAACCCTCCTTGGCAGACCACCTGCTTTCTTTATAAGGTTTATAAGGTTTGGAGCCAGGGCCACTTAGTTTACTAAAGGGCAAGAGGGAGAAATCTACTGTCCTAGCTTTTGTGAATCAGTTACCTTGCAGACTGCCAGGCCTGTCCTCTTCCCTCCCTGGAGCCACCCAGCCTCTCAGTCATGGCTGCTGAGTGAAGCTCCACCCACTGGGAACAGAGTCCCAGGTAGCTCAAGTTAAGGAGTGAGGATTGAGGGGGCAGGGTAGCTGTGTTGTCAAGGAATTCCTAGTCCACCAGGACAAACTGTACAGTAGGCAGACCTTTGTGTTCTGGAGGAAACAACAGAGGCATTTGTTCAAGTTAACAGTGGGCAAGGGGTTCTTGAAATTTAGGGGGAAACTTTTGGGGCAGGATTTTTCAAAGAAGGCTTCCTGGGAGAGCCAGAATGCTGAGCAGAGTTTAGAAGGAGGGTTGGGGTTGGGGCTGACAATCAGCTTGGCAATTCTTTGAATCCCTCTTCTCCCATCAGGATCTGTTCAAGGAGACCCTAGAATCCCTCCTAAGGCTAATGGAGACACTTATTGTTGAGATGCCCACTCGGATCCAGAACTGCTTGGAGGTCAGTGGGAAGGAGCCCCTGCAAGTTGGTGTATTCATTTCCTAGGGCTGCTGCAGTGAAGTACCACAACTGAGCGCCTTCAAACAACAGAAATACATTCTTCCACAGTTGTAAAGGCTAGAAGTCAAAAATCAAGGTATCAACAGGATTGGTTTCTACTAGATGCTCTGAAGGAGAATCTGTTCCAAGCGCTTCTCCTAGCTTCTAGAGATTCCTGGCAACGTGTGTGTGTGTGTGTGTGTGTGTGTGTGTGTGTGTGGTGCGCAGACAGCAGTCATTAGGTTAGGGCCTACCTGAATCCAGTATGAACTCACCCTAACTTGAATTCATCCAAAGACCATACTGCAAAACAGTCGCATTGTGAGGTTCTGGGTGGACATGAATTTTGAGGGGACACCATCAACCCAGTCCAGTTGGGAATGGAATAGAACAAAATGGGCAAACTAAGGGGTAGAACTGAAGGGGTAGAAGGTTGGGTGCAGAGCTTTTAGGGAAAGGAGAATAAGGGCTAGGATACAAATAATGGCCTTCCCTTCAGAAGAGAAAACTTCCTTCTTCTTTCTTCCCCTTCAAGCATTGCTGCAATCAGCATCTCTCTCTCTCAATCTCTGTCTCTGTCTCTGTCTCTGTCTCTGTCTCTGTCTCTGTCTTTCCCTCTTTTCATTTATCGTAGATAAAAGTTAAAAGCATAGGTTTTGGACTGCTATACACTACAGGTCCAGATTCTGGCTTTGCTATTAGCTGTGTGGCCTTGGGAAATTATTTAACTTTGGTTTGCCTCAGTTGTCGCCTAGAAAATAGAATAACAATAGTACCTAGTTAATACGGTCATTTAGTAATTGAATGAGATGTTTATAAAGTGCTTGAAGTGAGATATAGGTTCAAATTACATGCCCATTTTAAAATTGTCTTTTTATTGACTTGATTTATTTTATGCTAATGTCACTGTGATACTTCAGCCTTCTCCTGAAAATCTTGTTCCCCAATTACCACATGAAATTTAAGATTTCTTTGCAGTTCCTTTTTTTGTCAGAATATAAACTGCTAAGGACTATAGTCAGAGTATAGTATTCAAAAGTTACTTGAAATAACTCTTTTCTATATGATTATATTATCAAATTGATATAATTTAGACTTATTTGTATTAAAATTTAAGGTTTCCTTTCTTTTATTTAATTGAAGAGCTTGATTAAAGACTTATGTAGTTAAAAACTTTATATAAAGTTTTACTCAGAAAATTCTTGCTGCCATCCTGATCCTCTTAATCTCATTCCCACTCACCACCTATAGATAACTATTTATTACCTTCTGGTTTGTCCATGTGTTTTTTTTTTGTTTTTTTTTTTTAATTGTAAAAATAAGCCAATCTGTGTTTATGGTGTATTCTTATTTCCCCTTCTTTCTTACATACTAGGTAGCACATTCTGTCCAGTGGTCTGGACCTTGCTTTTTTCACTTACCCACATGAGTTCACAGATATATTTCTTATTTTTTTGTGTGTGGTTTCATACACTGTGTGCATGTACTATAGTTTATTCTATCAGTCAGTCCCTTGTGGATGGATATTGGACTGTTTCCATTCATTTTGCCATTAGTTTTCTTCTTAACTTTTTTTAACTTTTAGATGACAGATTTTAGATTCACAGGGATTTGCAAAAATAGTACATAGAGCCCCTCGAATGCTTCATCTAGCTTCCCCTAATGATGACATCTTATATAATAGTAGTATACCATCAAAACCAGGGAATTGATGTTGAGACACTATTGTAAAATTATAGATTTTATTCAGTTTTCACCAATTTTTACATGCACTCATGTGTGTGTGTGTGTTCTATGCAATTTAATCTTTTATATAATGTGTAACGACCATCACTATCATGATATAGGATACTCCCTCACCAAGAGAAATTCTCTTGCACTACCCCTTTACAGTCACATCTCATCCCCCCTTGTTTCTGTTCCCTGGCAAACACTGATCTATTCTCTGTCTCTATAGTTTTGTCATTTTGAGGATGTTACATACATGGAATCATATAGTATGTAACCTTTTATGAGATTGGCATCTTTCATTAAACTTAAAGGTCACAAGTCCTTTGTCAGATCTATAATTTGCAAATGTTTTCACCCAATCTGTAGCTTGTCATTTTTTCTCTTGACAGGGTCCTTTAAGGAGCAAAAGATCTAAATTTTTATTAAGTCCATTTTATAACTTTTTAATCTTATGAATCATGATTTTGGTGATACCTAAAACTAGGTCCTGAATATTTTCTCCTGAAGGCTGTTTAGTTGTACATTTTTAAACTGTCACTCATTTTGAATTAATTTTTGTATAAGGTATGAACTTTAGGCTGAGGTTCAATTTTTTGCATATGGAAGTTCAATTGATGCAAAAATTATCCTTTTTCTATTGCATTGCCTTTACACCTTGTCAGAATCAATCATTCATATTTGTGTAAATCTATTTCTGGACTTTGTATTCTCTTCCACTGGTCTCTGTGTCTATAGCTTTCACCAATACCACACTATCTTGATTGTTTTAACTTTAGTAAAGTCTAAAAATTATATAGCATAATTCCTCTTTTTTCTTTTTATCTTCACATATAAATTTCAAACCAGCTTGTTTATATCTATGAATCGTCCTACTAGGATTTTTATTGAGTTGCATTAAATCTATAGATTCATTTTGGACGAATCAAAATCTTTATTATGTTGAGTCTTCTAATCCATAGTCATGTTATGTCTCTTTATTGATTTGATCTTTGATTTTGTTCATCAGCATTTTGTAGTTTTCAACATTTGGATCCTGTATATATCTAAGTATTTCACTTTTTTAGAGATATTATAAATGTATTTAAAAGTGTTTGATTTCCAATTATTCATTGCTAGCATATAAAAATTCAATTGAGTTTTGCATGTTGACCTTGTATTACATCTAGGACTTTATGGGGGAGTGTGTGGGTTCCTTGGGATTTTCCATGTAGAAATCATCTTGTTTGCAAACAGGGACCATTTTATTTCTTCCTTTTTTAATCTTATGCCTTTTATTTCATTTTTATGCCTATTGCACTGGCTAGGACTTCTAGTATGATGTTTAACAGGAGTGGTGAAAGTAGACATCTTGCCTTGTTCTGAATCTTAGGGGGAAGTCATAAGTAAGATGTTTGCTATGGGCTTTTTGTATTTGTAAGTGCCATTTATCAGGTTAGGAAGTTTACGTCTATTTCTTATTTGTTGAGAATTTTGACTATAAATAGATGTTGAATTCTGTAAAATACTTTCTGCGTAAATTAATATCATTATGTTGATTTTCTTCTTTAGACTATTGATAATGGCATATTACATCAATTTTCAAGTACTGAAGCAGTCTTTCATTCCCAGGATAAACTCTATTTGGTTGTAGTATATTATTCTTTTTATACATTGCTGCATTTTATTTGCTGTTTTTTTTTGAGAATTTTTGTTTCTATATTCATGAAGGATATTGACTTATAGTTGTTGTCGTTGTTGTTGTTGTCTTTGTCTAATTTGGTATCAGATTAATATTGACTTCATGAAATGAGTTAGGAAGTATTCCCTCTTCTATTTCATAGAAGAGACTGAGTAAAAGTAACATTACTTCTTTAAATATTTGGTAGAATTCACCATGGATACCATCTTGACCTGATTTGTTTTATGTTTTTGTAAGGTTTTTTATCTATACATTCAATCTAAAAACAGTTATAGGACTATTCAGGTTATCTGTTTTATCCTAGGCAAGTTTTAGTTTTTGAAAAATTGGTCCATTTCCATTTCATCTAAGTTGTTGAATTTATGTGAGTTAGAGTTGTTTGTAGTATTTCCTTGTTATGCTTCTAATGTCTGCATAAATTATTCTTTATTCTTGTCTTTTTTCTTTTTTTCTTTGTCAGTCTTGCTACAAGTTTATCAATTTTATTAGTCTTTTTAAAAGAACCAACTTTTTGTTTCATTGTTTCTCTCTGTTCATTCTCTTTATATTTTTATGTTTTTCAATTTTCAATTTTATTGATTTTTGCTATTATCTGTAGTATTTTCTTCCTTTTGTTTGCTTTGAATTAATTTTACATTTAAAAAATTTTTTTTTAAAGTGAAAACTTAGACTATGGGCTTGAGACCTTTCTCCTTTTCTAATGTAAACATTTAGTGCTATAAATCTCCCTCTAGGTGCCACTTCTCCTGCATCCCACATGTTTTGATATGTTGCATTTTCATTGACATTCAGTTCAAAATATTTTGTAATTTCTCTTGAGACTTCCTCTCAGGCCAATGAAGTATTTAGAAGTGTGTTGTTTAATTACCAGATGTTTTGAAGAGGTTTTTTTTTTTTTTCAGTTTTCTTTCAGTTATTGGTTTCCAGTCTTAATTCTGTTATGGTTAGAGAACATACTTTCTATGATTTCAATTTTTAAAATTTGTTAAGGTTTTATTTTATGAATCAATATATGACCTATTTGCTTTTGTTGGATGGACTGAGCTAAAATGCCAATAGATAGTGTCATTCAGTTGTACTGTATCTTTGCTGGTTTTCTAATTACTAATTATATTGATTGGTGAGAGAGGAATGTTGAAATCTCCAACTATACTGAGGATTTTTTCCTTTCATTTCGAACAGTTTTTGCTTCAGAAATTTTTAAGTTCTGTTAAGTGCATATATATGTCGGATTTTTATGTATTCATGGTAAATTGTTCTTTTTATCATTACAAACTGTCCTTTTTATCTCCAATAATTTTCTTTGCTCTGAAGTCTTCTTTTTCTGTTATTAGTATAGCCTCCATAGCTTTCTTTTTATTAATGTTTGCATGATATATCTTTATGCATTCTTTTACTTTTAACATACCAATATTATATTTGAAATGAGTTTCTTTTAGACAGCATACGGTTGGTCATTTTAAAGGTCCATTCAGTAGGCTCATTAAAAAAAATCCTTTCTGATAATTTGCCTTTTAATTGGTATGTTTAGACCATTTACATTTAATAAAATTATGATATGGTTTAGGTTTACTACTTTATTACCTGTGTTCTGTTTGTTCCTTCTCATTTTTGTTTCTTAGTTTCCTCTTTCTTACTTCCTTTGGGTTATTTTTACATTTTTAACATTTTGTTTTAGTTCATCTATTGTATTTTTGAAGGTATCTCTTTGTATAGTATTTATAGCAGTTGCTCTAGGAATTACAAAATACATACTCTTTACATCCTACTTAGAATCAATATTTTACTACTTCAAGTGAAATGTAGAAACTTTATTATGTCATAGTTGTCTTACATATTAAAAACCTAATCAGATAATTTTTCTTTTTTAGGCGAGGCAACCCTTGGTTGACCTCACAGATTGCAAGGACCTTGTCAGTTTACGGTCCCTTATTTTTATTTTATTTTACTTTTTATTTTTTACACCTGTAGCACCTGGTCTTCCTAGGTGGTCTCCCTTCCAAGTACTAACCAGGCCCGACCCTGCTTAGCTTCCGAGATCAGACAGGATTGGGCTTTTTTAGGGTAGCATGGCCGTAGACCCAATCAGATAATTTTATATTTGATTTGAGCCACCCAACATATTTTCCAGATCTCAATAAAAGACTAGTCTATTATATTTACTCAAATATTTACCATTTCTGTTCAATCTTTATGTTCCAAATTTCCTTTTGCTATCATTTCTCTTCCTTTAACTGTTCTTTTAGGGCAATTCTGCTGGCAATGAATTCTCTTAGTTTTCCTTCACCTGATAATATCTTTATTTCACCTTCGTTTCTGAAGATTTTACCCCCCACTGGACACAAATTCTGGGTTCGTGGTATTTTAATATAGGTACTTTAAAAATATCACACCACTTCTTTCTAATGAGAAATACAGACATTTAAATCATTGCTTTCCTATAGGTAATGTTTCATGTCCTCTGGCTGCTTTCAATTTTTGTTCTCTGTCTTTAGTTTTCAGAAATTTCATTATGATGTGTCCACATGTGCATTTCTTAAGATTTATCCTCTTTGAGGTTCACTAAGTTTCTTGAATCTTTATTACCAAATTTGGGAAGTTTTCAACCATCTTTTGTTAAAAAATTTTCCACTATTGCACTTTCTAATTTCCCTCTGGGATATCAGTGACATGATATTGGACATTTTGGTACTGTCCCACAGATCCCTGTGGTTCTATTTTCAATATTTTTTTCTTCTCTTATTCAAATTGGATAAATTTTACTGGTCTCTCTTCAAGTTTACTGACTCTTTCCTCTGTTGTCGCCATTTTTCTAATTAGCCTACCCAGTGAATTTTTAATTTCAGTTATTATATTTTTTAGTTCTATAATTTTCAGTTATTTCTTCTTTATAGCTTCTATTTCTTTGCTGAGATTTTCTGATTTATTTATTTATTTATTTGTTTGTTTGTTTATGCATTGATTTCAAGTTTATTCATTATTGCTTTTTGGGGTCCTTTGTTGAATAGCTGCCTTAAAATCTTTATCAGATAATTTTTACATCTGCATCATCTCAGTATTGACACCTACTGATTGAATTTTCTCATGTGAGTTGAGATATTTCTGGTTCTTCATATGTGGAGTAATTTGGGGTTATATCCTGGACATTATGAATATTATATTATTAGCTTCTGTGTCTTATTTAAATACTGTAGAATATGTCAATATTTTTCATTTGAGCAGGCGATTGACCCAGTTCAGTTCAGGCCACAATGTCCAATCAGCCTTCCATGAGTTGTAGTTAGAGTATCAATTCATTTTTCAAAGTCTTTGCAATGCTATTCATATCTGTTCCACATGTGTATCACTTTTAGCTATCTTGGGACTGGGGTGGTAATCTCTTCCTGTAGTTGAGTTCTCAAAGTCTGTATATTTTTAGGATTAGATCCACACATGTGAATCTTGGGGGTGAGCCCATGAGTTCATAAACAACTTTAAGGAGTTATTTTCCCAAACTCTTCCCTCTCCATAATCTCCTGGTATTTTCTGCCTTTACAGGGCTCCCCTTGTTGGTCCTCCAGCCAGAAATCTAAGGCTTTAGTTACTCTGACCTCCTAGGTATTTCTACACCAGTCCCTGGGGACGAGCAATGGGAGGATAGAGAATAAAGAAAAGCAGTTGGAGTTTATTGTACCCTTTTGGGACCACAGCTCCTCTGATCAGAGAGTAGGTTCCCCTCTCTCAGAGGTTTGGCTTCTGTAGATTCCTGATGTCACCTTTGCTGCCACAAGTTTACTTAGGGCCTAGGGCAGAAGACAATGGAGAAAAGAGGGTAAAAAGAGCGAAGAGAAAAATGGGAGATTCCCCCACTCTTTCTGAGCATTAGCAGCAGTTCCCTTTTTTACTCCTTGAGCTATAATTAGAGCACTTCTCCTGGAGCTTTCTCTGTTTGCACCCTGGTGCCCAGGTTTTAGACTGTATTAAATTCAAGCCAGAAGATACCTGAGGAAAAAAATGGTAAACTCACCACTGAGTCAGTGGTACTTTAAATTCTTGTCTTCTTTCCTAATCCACTTGTTACTATTACATCTCAGAGCCCTCAAATAGCTGCTCTGCATATTCTGTCCAGATTTTATAGTTGCATTAATTGGGAGAGATATGGTGGAGGGTGCTTATTTTATCTATACCCCATACACTCCCCAACCTCCTCACCTCTAGATTATTTCAAAACAAATTCCATACCAATTTATCTATAAATATTTCAGTATATTTCTTTAAAAGATAAGGTTTATTTTTAAAAATTGTAGAATCATTATTACATTTAATATTTAATGTTAATTTTATTTCTCAATAGCATTAAATATTCAGACATTCCAATGAAATGGTTTGTCTCTTAAGTCTCTTAATCTGTAGATTCCCCTTCCATCATTTTTTTCCTTCAGATTTAATTGTTGAAGAAACCAAGTCATTTGTTCTGTAAATTTTCTATATTCTGGGTTGTGCTGATTATATCCTTTTGGGGTCGTTTAACAAGTTTCTCTGTCAAAGTCTTTCTTATAAATTAATGGTTAGATCTAGAGGCTTGATCATGAATCTGATCAATTTTTGATAAGATAACTTCACAAGTAGTCTTGTCTTCTACCACTAAGAGCCACATGATGTCTGGTAGTCTCTCTATGGTGTTCACAGCTTTCGATGATCAGTGCTTAGATTCATTAATTCATTAGTGGTTGAAAAATCGGTGATACTCTTTTTTTAAAGACCTTGTTATTGGAAGATCACTTGCTGCAATAAAGTGTATAAATTTTAAATGTACACTTAGATACATTTTTACATATGTATACATCTGTGTAAATACCAGTCAGATTAGGAAATAAAATATTTCCTATACCCTAAAAGGTTCCCCATGTACCCTCTCCCAGTGCATAACTCCTGCCAATAATCATTATTCTGACTTCTATCACCATAGATTAGTTTGGCTTGTTCTTGAACTTTACAAAAATGGAATTATATAGTATGAACCTTTTTGTGTCTGTATTCCTTTACTTCAACATTATATCTGTGAGCTTCATCCATGCAGCACTAGACCGTTCTTTTTTATTGCTATGTAGTATTCCATTGAATGCATATACCTCTATTTATTTTTGCAAAATGATGACATCGTAATTCTATAATTCCTTATTCATTTTTAGCTAGAATTCTTCTATAATGAGAAGTTACCTTTATAGATTATGTGGTTACTTTTGAGGTATAGCTCATATAGGAAAGACAAAATAAATGCTGGATCCTTTCCCTTTATTAGTTTTCAAAGTAATGAATTATTTTCTAGTATTCTCTAGCATCATTTGAATTTAAAATGAATTTTTAAATGTTACATGTGTTTTAATTAATTACAACTATTATTGATGCTTAAGTTGCCCCATCTTTGATCAATGAATGGGAGACTCTTCAGGTTGGCTCTTGAATCCCTCTAATATGACTCCAATAGTCTTTAATAGCTTTCTTGCTCTCTAGCACGATATCTTGTTTACTTCCTGTCTCAGTCCTGGAATCAGTTTCTCTAAGGAGCTCTTATTCCTCTTAGTGAAAAATGGTATTTGGCACTCTGGTATTTTATCATAGTCTGGCTGCAAGGAAGACTTGCAGAGTTCCCACTAGAATTCCTCATATCTTCAGGAAGAGTGTTTTTTTCTTATCAGTGCAGCATCAGTGTTCTCTTGAGTTGGCTGTAGATTTTTCATCTGCTGCTCTTCTTCTTTTTCAGTTATAAAATGCTGTTTGTTTAGTTGTATCATCAGCAAATTGATGACCGTAGATTGACATGTAAATGTCAATCTTTGGATCAGTGGTATTTTGGATCCATAATTTACCAAAGGTGAGACAGAAAGCATTGTGTTCTAAATGAAATCGTTCATAATTATATTTCTCGAGCAGATTCATACACACTTTACCCTGGAATCTGTGAATATAGTGATTCTTCTTTGTTATCACCAAGGTTTTTTTCTACTGAAGGAATGGGAAGAGGTAAGTAGGGGAACACTGGAGTATGTTGACCCAATGAAGTGAATCACGGTCATTATATTTTGAGAGCCACCACTTTAATCTGAAGGAAGGAAGTAGTAATTAAGATTTCTAGCACCTAGATGAGAGCAAAATTTGGAACTGAAGCCAAATTTGGTGCCAGTCCTACATGTAATCTGGCTTTTGGCAAAATAAGTCCTGGTCTCAGAAGTCTTGCCCTGATATTTTGCAAAAGCCAAATTCAAGGTTACCTTTCTATCCTCTTGGATGCATCTGAATGGGCCTCTCCTTTTATTCTCTTTTCCCTCCAGCTTCTGGACACATGGCTTAATTCCCAGAAGGACAATGAGCGGGAACGGGCCATGTGGTGTACTGCCCGTATTCTTGGCTTCACTGCAAAAATGAACAACTTCAAAGTGAGTGGAGCCTGCCCTGGAGTCTGGGCTCTCATGCCCCCTCTGGTTGCCCTCATCCCTACCTTTATTCCAAACTTCATCATATACATTACCTAGCCTCGGTCACTCATCCCCATCCTCCTTCTCCCTGGCCCCATTCTCTGTTTTCTCTTGTGCATCCCATCTTGTTCTCTCCTTTCTCCCTTCTGCTTGGTCTTTTTCTCAATCTACCAGTTGAACTCCATTCCACTTGGTTAAGTTTGATTCCATTCAGCTGAACAGGCAGTTACTGAATACTCACCTTGTGCCAGGCACTGTGCTAGGTGCTATATAGCAAGTACATAGGTGACTGAGACAGTTCCCTGACTTCATGGATCTTACAGACCCCTGGGGAGAAAGGCATGCATAGAACAAATCTAAATAGAAGGTGATAATGAATGTGTCAACCAAATATGGTGGGAATAAAAGGTCAAAACACAAATAATTACAAATGAAGGGGTTGGGGAAAGTTTCACAGAGGAGGAGGCATTTGAACTAGGCTTGAAGGATGACTAGGGTGTCAGGAGGCAAAGAAGGGGGATAGTGTAAGGTTATTTCGAAACTATGTTCCCTTATGTTCTTTATAGCCACAATTCACCTAACTAATTCTATTTCCATTAACTTCACCTATTCTCACCTTTTATATCTCTGACACATGCATCCCCTCCTCCTAGTTCTTTTCCTGTGATAGCTTAGCCTATAGGAATGGCTAGGATAACTAGTAACTTCCAGCTTCCCTCCCCAGGCAGAAATCGAGTTCACCCGGCTGGGGCGCTTGGTAAGGCTGCTGGCCGTACGCTGCCAGGACCCAGTGGACAACATCTGCTTCCTGTCTTCTCAGGCTGTCTACAACCTCTACTGTATCCTCCTGCAGCAAAAGCGTATGAAGAACCTTCTCTTATGCCCCGGCAGACTCCCACTTAGGCCTGACCATCCCCACACACTCTGTCCCAGAAGAGTGAACTTCAAGAAGTTCCACTGAGGAACCTGCCCGCAAACATCTACAGACCTTCTTGGGACCAGATACCTACACCGGAAACAGTTCTTTTGAATTCATTTTTCCTCCTCTAGCTGAGACCCATACTCTTATTCAGTTCTGTCTCTGTTCTGAGGCAGGGAATGTGGAGGTTCCTCTGACCTCTGCTCTCACCATTTCTTATCTTAATGCCCATTCCTCTATTCCCAGCCCCACAGGATATACATCTCCCCAAGCTGACTTAGTTCAGTAGGAGTTTCAGGCTAGGCAGGTGGGAAAGGGAGGGGCCCAAGATGCCTTCTGAGTGTCTGAGAGGTGGGATTGGGTGTCTTTGTTTCAGAGATGGGAAGGAAAACACAGGGCTTGTGGGAAGAAGAGGGCAAGCATGAAGTCTATAGTGCCAACGTGTTCTATAACAACACCTTTGAAATTGCCAAGGTGAGGGGGCAGGACCAGAGACAAAGCGGGGAGAGCCTGGGCCTCTCATTTACATGATATTATGGACTCCTGGGGTGGGCCTCTTTTATCCCATCTGCTTTCCCATTCCATTACTAGATGTGAACTTTCTCTTTGGGGGAGATTTTCCTACCACACGCTACTCTGTCCTCTCCCTTGAGCATCATGGGTCCTAATCCTTATTTTTCACCTGTCCTCCGTGGAAGCATTTGCTTCATGCAAATGATGCTTTGTGAGCAATGTGTAGATTCAACCAGCTCCTCAGAAATGTCACTAAGGATCTTAGCCCCATCCATCCTCTCCCAGTGCTCTTCCTCTGCAGCCGCTGACTTCTGAGTCCCACATTGCATCTGGGGTCAGTGTTTTCTCCTTTCTATCCCCAAAGACTCTGTCCCTAGTGAAAGAGTCTTCTAGGAACTAAGCACACAGCACAGGCCTAGGACAAAAGCATATAATGTTCCCAAGAGAAGCCCTCCCTCTTCCTACCCTAACCAGGAAGAGTAGAACAAGCTATCTCAGGCACAGGCTACCCAGCTGCATCCAGTCTGATCCCACCCTGTTGCAGGCATTTGCAGAGTACTTCACCAAGATCCAGCTCACCACCCTGGTACTGACAGCCATGGAAGGCCTGACTGACAGCAGGGCCAAGGTATCTCTGGCTGCAGCCCAGCTGATGAGTGGCGTCATGAAAGAGCGGGGGAGAGACATGATCAAGGTAGTGTGGTGCTGTGGTGACAGCCCTGCCCTGAGAGTCAGAGCCCTGGGCATTCCCCTGGCTTTCTTACTAATGAGCCGAAGGGCTTTGGCCAAGTCCTTCTCCTCTGTAGGCCTTAATTCATTTACTTCTAAAATGTAGGCTTGCACTGAGCTCTGACATTTGTAATCCTGAGCTTATAACTGCAGTGACTCCTCTCTGGGGGCCTGATTCCTCAGTTAATGACAGCCATGTGCAGGGGTGTAGGCAGCTGGAGGGCCTAGCAGCCAGAGCACAAGGAACCACTGTTGGAGGATTTGTTTCCTGGGGTGTCAGGGGCCTTAGACCTCTGTGAAAGGTAAGGCTGTAGGTTACAAGCAAGCAAGCTCACAGAATGACTCTGGCCTTTGTATAAATTTTCTTTTCGGTTAACATGTAAAAATGGAACAGTTTTGCATTAAAACAAATCTAAATTTCCTACTTCACTGAAAAAAACTTGAAAATGGGGTCACACAGGGGCAACTCTCTGAGCGGCTACTATCCCTTTCACATGTGGCGTGGGCTCTCCAGGCTCTCCAGACTCTCCTATCTCTGAATCTCCTGACATCCTACTCATTTACGTGACTTGCCCATGAGGGTGTCTTTGAGGTATTACAATGAATGGGCTTCCCAGAGGTCCATATATTAGAGATCCAAGGGTCAAATGAGAGCCCTATGGTTCTTCCACACCCATGTGAACTGTCCTTGTAGTTGCATGGGTTAGAAGTTGATCTCAGCTGGCAGAGAAAGTTTTGAAGTGTCTCCAGGGCTTTTTTTTTTTTTTAAAATCTTTGCTTTCACAGCATAATCTCTCCCTACAAGTCATCTGTGCTAAATGCAGAGTCCTTCCAATGAAGGACTTCTGACTATATGGAAAATTACTTAGTTCATATTTTGCAAAATTTATTATTCTAGTAATACATTTATCCATTTAAGAAGCATAAAATAATGAAGTGCTTAACGATTGTAAGGCAAAGCAGATATCATTTCTTTCCAACCCTTAACTTGTATAATTCTTATAACTTGTAAGGCAAAGCAGATATCATTTCTTTCCAACCCTTAACTTGTATAATTCTGTGTATAATTTTTATACACAGAATATTCACTTAACTCAGCAAATTAATTTCAGTATCCAGTCTAGGAGACACAGCACCAATAAAATAGAAGGTGCTCAATGCATATATTGGTGACTTGATGTGTGAACTGGCACCATTCTGTGCAATGAAATTCACAGTTACCTTGAGAAAGCATATCGAACTAGAATATTTTTCAGAGAGCTAATACTCTTCTTTTAATACAATAAACTTAAACATCTCTATCCTAGAAATTTTATTCAAAATAGTATATTTTAGGTAAATAAAAAGTTGGAAACTAAAAGTTATGAATAGTACTATTCAGTCAGGTTAATTCAAAAAATTCTGCTTTAGGAAGATGTTTTGTTGCATTTTTATGAATTTTCAAATTCGATTTTTTAAGGCTATATTTTCTATTATCTTTGAAGATAATATAAAACCCAGAATACAGATCACACACTTAATGATGAGATTTTCTTGAACCCCAAAATGAAATATTTTTAAAGCACAGGACATTTTAGCCTGACTTAAGAACATCTGATTTTTCTATTTCCAACTAACTATATGGCTTTATAAACTCCGTTTCCAATAATATATTAAGTTTAACAAGAAAAATTAATAAAACAAAACCAAAACTTTAGAAACAGATGGTACATGTATGTCCTTTTTTCCAGTCATGACATATAATACGAAAGTGTTTTATAGTAGTAACCCAAGCAGGAAACTATAGGGATACTGTTGGTTTTTTTTTTTAAAAAGTCTTTTCTTTCAGTTCTATAGACATTTAAGAAACCAAGGGAGCATCTGTTACGACAATGAAAAAAAAGTCGAAAATACTAAAATCAACCTCTATATTTACACACAATTTTCTGAAATCTTATCAATCACACTGTAGTAACTTTTTTCATATCCCTCTTGAAAGGCCACTGAAGAATTAACTATGGGTTTTAGAAGTTGAAGGCCTTCTTTCTGGAGCTTCTGTATCTCCTGAATAACGTGGGACCTTCTCTCTGGACTTGAGGGCTGTGGACAGGCATTCATTATGGTGGGCCTTGGTACTAGCTCCTGGAGTTCCTTTTGTGGCCCCTGCTAGTCTGGCCTCTGGCACCTCAGAACTCTGCCTTGAGAAGAGTCACTGACAGGATTGTAACTAGGCCCCTTGAGTTTGAGGAGTTGGTAGAGAGGAAGGAAGAGGGGAGTAGCAAAGAAGAAATGACTGAGGTTCTTTTGGCTCTGCCTTATAGATTGAGGAAGTTGTGGAAGGCATCCTGGAACGGCTCAACTTGCAGCTGGAACCCAGCACGAAGGAGGAGACCCTTAGGGCCATGTGCTTGCTGGCAGGCAACAACACCCACATCGTGGTGCCCATGCTGCTCAACAGGCCCCTCCCTTGGAATAGGTACCTCTCCCGTGGTCTAGGAGCCCTTCTGCCCAGTAAACCCTCCCCTGTTCCAGCCCAAGCCCATGATTAAAATCACTGCACAAGGATGCTTTCTCTTTGACAACAATCAAACTTCATGTTCTCTGGCCAAAGCCTCTTTGGTCTCACTCCCTCTAGACCCTGAGAATTGGCTGTTAATAGTCCTGAGACCAGACTAGTTCTGGGAATATGGTCACCAGGGCCCATGACATAGCTGTCCCTGGTCCTGCAGAACCAATCTGGCCCTGTGGAACGTGTTTGGCACCCGGCGAGAGACCACAATCAATGTCCTGCAGCTGCTCATAGGCATTCTGGAAAATCTCCATTCCAAAGAGGAAACAAGGGAGATGGCCTTCCAGCCTGTGGCGGTCAGCACCTGGGAAGAGAGGGGGCCGAGGACTCACTGTTCTGGGACTTGGGAGCAGAGCTGAAGATCAAAGGGCACTTGCAGGGTGGGAAACAGGTGTTAGGGAGGAGCAGAGAGGAGAGGGTTAACACTGGACTCACGGATACTGCACCTTCGGTTAGCACTTTAACCTGCTTTTGCACTTGTACATCCAAGAACTGCATGATGTAAAAAGGGCAGGGATCAGTCCCATTTTATAAACAAGGAAAGTGAAGTTCAGAGTTAATCAGCTTTCTCTATCTCCTGGTTTCGGGACTGGCACTCATTTCTCCAGGGCCTGGCCTGTGGCATGGCGGGTCAGGGAGCAGGGGGTTCGGTTGCCTGGAATCAGGGTAAACAAAACATGTCCAAATCATTTTCTGCTGAAAATTTAGAATTGGTTTCCTTTTTGTTTTTAATGTTGGGGAATGAAGAGAAAGCAGATTGCATGTGTTTGGCCCCTTATTACCCTAGGTATGAGCTGTGGGCTTTTAGTCTTTGAGTACTTCTTCCTAGCCTGAGTCAGAGTGACCTGTGCCCTATGGGCAATGACAGGGAGGGGCAAGGCGGGACTCAGTGCGTGGGATTGTAGAACCGTTTTATGTCTTCACTCAAGCCTAGTTGATTCTGCTTCCCCCTTTCCACATGTCCTCCCCCAGGTGGCGTGTGCCTTGTGTGAGATGCTATCTGGGTCCCTGTGCCAGGAGGCCATCCAGGAACTCTACCCACGGCTGTTGCTGGCTGTGCTGAGTCATCTCTACTGGGTGATTGAGCAAAATGCTCCCCAGAAGATGGTGGTCTACAGCAAGGATGGGGGCCCGGGCAGCAAGAGCAAGCCCTTTGACCCCACTAGGTAAGCCTAACCCCAGTGCAATGGAGGAATGAGCCTCGCCAACTTCAGAGGGCCATGGACAACTAGAGGCTGATCCCCTAGGGATGCTGAGAAAGAGAAGAGCAGAAGAAATAGAATATGAGTATGGGTGCTGCAGCATCGTGTGCTGGAATGTTCTTACATATTTTCAAGTTTCCCATTACTCTTTTTCTTTCATGCATTCTTCTGATTCACTCAGTGGTTCATATCTATGTTCATAACGCTGCACATGGAAAGATTCAATTAGATGGGAATGAAAGGGCAAGACTCTATCTACTATATCTGTCATTCTCTCTGTGCAGTTGTGGCCATTCAAATCTGGGTGACTTCTGGCTTAGCTTGGTTACTAGCTGTGCCATTTGTGCAAGTCACTACTTGGTTTTCTCCTCTATAAAATGGGGGTTGGATTCCTAAATAAGTGGTTATCAAACCTTTTTTAAAACCTCAGGGTATTCTATTCAAGTGAAATCTTACATGAAACCTGGTAAGCAGAAACATTCTGATTAGATGAAGATATATCCTAACACTTCTGTACCCTGGAGAGCAGAATTTGAAAACCATGGCACTAGAATATCTCTATAGTCTCTTTCATAGAACTCTGTGGTTGGATGAGCATCAAGGTTAAAGGGGTGAGTGGACTGGTAATTAGAGATGGGTTTCCTAGAGCCATAGATT